GGTCACGGCTTCGTCCCTTCCCCGGAGGGGAGTCCCAGGCCCGCCCGGGGAGGAAGGCCGAAGCCTCCGCCTCTCATCGGCATTTGCCCGGCAAGACCCGGACGGAGCCGGCCTGCCTCTCATCGCCATTTCCCGCCAGACCAGGCCTCGGGCTCCCCCCTCCTTCCCGGGGTTACCTTCTCCGCCAGAGAGCCTTTCGGACTGCGACTCCCAGCATCCCTTGCGCCCTACCTGGATGCGAGCCAATCTGCGGCCGAATCTATTAGACGCCTCGGTTGTATTGGTTTCCTGAAGTGGAGGCGGGAGTTCCTTGCGAGGTCTGTTCCTGGTTTCTTTTCCTCTTTCCTTTGAATGGACCGCCCCGAGGAGTCCTCCTGCCAATCGCTGCCCTCCCCAGAGCGACGAATCGGCGTCCTGCTTCTTTCCACCCGTCAGCCATATGGCGCCTGCGCAGGAGCGAAGTTGCTCTTTGTCCGGAAAAGGGGTTGAGGCGAGGGGCTCCCTTTGACTTTTGGGGGTCCCTTCCTCTCCCCCCCCCGCCCAGCCCCCCCCCATGCAGGCCGACGGAGCTAGGAGGCCTCCCGGGGCTGCGTCTCCGCCCCTCCCCCCTCCCCTCCCCATACTGTGGGATTCCCTAGGCAGTGCGGGGGGGAGCTGGGGAGGGCGCTTCCTGCCTTCTTCCTCCTGGGGGGCTCCAGCCAGGCTCCCCCCGCGGCCCCCAGGCAGCCCCTCTCCCGGGTGGGGGGGCTGGGAGCAGGTGAGGAGAAGGGCGGGGGGAGAGGTGAGAGCAGCCTTCCCATATCTGGGGGGGCGCCCGGAAGAGGAGGGGGCCCGGCTCTTCCCCGAAGCCCCCCCTGAAGGCGGAAGGAGCAGCGACGGAGGGAGACTGGCCGGGGAAGGAAGGAGGAATCTCCTGACAGGGAGAACTCTTAACCGGTGGAACTACCTGCCTCCAGAAGCCGTGAATGCTGCAACACCGGAGGTTTTAAAGAAGAAACTGGACAACCATTTGTCTGAAATGGTATAGGGTCTCCTTTCTGAACAGGGGGTTGGACTAGAAGGTCTCCTACTTGAGCAGGGGGTTGGACTAGATGACCTCCAAGGTCCCTTCCAACTCTATTACTACTACTACTATTCTTCATAATAATTAGTTTTTATTATTATTATTATTATTATTATTATTATTATTATTATTATTATCCTACAAAGCCCATTCTAGCGCTGTCACCTCATGGACGATCCTGCCTTTCTTTGGGTTTGGCTCTTCAGAGCTTCTGCCCCTCCCTTCACTCGCTCTGCAAGTGCTCTTCGTGCATGTGGGAGAAAAGGAGGATATGCCATTATATGTATTGTTTGACTTTAAATATTTGTATTCATCTCATGCTTTCCCCACGTTTTCCTTGGGTTTTTCTCTCTCCTGTTCTGCCCTGCCAAAGAGGAAGGAGGAAAGGGGGGGGGGATGAAAGAGAGGAAACGGTGCCCTAAACTGGCCTTAAGGACCACCTTTCCCAGCCTCTCGGGGTGCTTTGGACTGGGGTAGATTTGGGGTGCCGTATAACATCTAATGCTGAGCCCCCTTTGGGGGCTTCTTTGAGTGAAGAATCCATCCACGTCCTGAGGTTGGGATGTGTGTCTCTTCCTCAATCTTGACTCTTCCATCGCAGGCGGGAGAGATTGAAGTTTCTGCGCAGGATCTTAGGTGTTCCTAGCACTGCGTTGCTCCAGGCAGAGAGAGCTCTGAGTCGGTTCCTGGAATCTGTTGCAGCCCCTCTGGCCGCTTAGGAGTCCCATCCCTGAGTGCTGGGACTGGGAGTAGAGGCAGTCAAGCTGTCAGGAAGGATAACTGCAAAAGACACCACAGGGGCGGCAAACAGGGTTGGGTCAGTCAGCCCCCTCCCCTCTGGCTGCATCACCAGAACCTCCCTCCCCAGACCCACCTTCTCCTCTCTGGCCCCTTCCCTCCCAAGGACCCCACTGCAAAACTGCAGCAGAGGGAGAAACCCCCTCCAATGCCTCTCCCCTTACTACATGGTTTTTTTAACCTCCTTTGGCCTCTTGGCACCTGATGCCAAAGCTGCTACACAGGCACACATTGTCCTCCTATCCCCCCACTTTGGAGGGGGCTCCTGTTACAGCTGCTACCTGGGCCAGCGTGCCCTGAGACATAGACCCCTAACCCTGGGCTGGCACCTATCTCATTTCCTTCCTGCTGCTGACTGGCAAAACAATACACCTGTTTATACGCCAGCACATTTGCAAATTAGCTCCCCCCAACTTACCTATCCATTTCAATGGGCATCTGTAATCACCCACCTGCTGAGACTTTGGAAAAAGTGCAAAGGAGAGCAACTAAGATACTTAAAGGCCTGGAGACTAAAACATATGAAGAAAGGTTGCAAGATTTGGGTTTGGCTGGAGCACAGGTGTCAAACTTGTGATCTCGTTTGACGTGTTGTGACTTTTTTCCCATTGCTGGCAATGGGGTGGGAGCGGTTTTGGCGTGACACATGCAGCCTGTGGACCGTCACTTTGACATGCCTGGTATATTAGGGCTCCTGCTTGAGGAGGGAGCTGGACTAGGAGATCTCTGAGCTCCCTTCCAGCTCTATTCTACATTTGAATTTGCCTTCACTAACAACCAATGTGGGCTCTGAACTGTTCCCAGGAACTCATTCCAGCTTCAGCAGCTGAAGCATCAAACCCTGAAGAAGACAAGGGGGGGGGGCAAAGGATGTCATGCCCACCTTTTCCCTCCAAGTAAGAGCCCAAGTTATCAGCAATCACATGATGGTTGTTGCACACCGAGCATTTCACTATCACAGCTCTATGATGGTAAACCAGCTTGGAAGTGCTTTTTGCAGACCGTGTCCCACATCCCTGAAAGGGAAGCATCTACTCAGTAATTTTTCAAAGGGGTTCTCTGGGATATCCAGGGACAGGGAATTGGGGGGAGGTGCCAATTTATTTAGGGATGACTTCTTTTATTTGGAGAGCAGCCCAACACCCAATGACTATGAGTGGTTTACAAAAAGAGAAGAATAAAAGGGGAAAAGAATGTATGCACCTGGGAACACTTACTGTATTGCACATCAAAGCACCCTGTGGCTCAACCACCTGCCTGCCACCCCCAGCCCAGGAGCAAAGCCCCCTCCTCAAAGAGGTATGGGACATTTGTTGGGTGAGGCACAGAAATCTCTAGGTGATGCTGTTAGAGAGAGGAGGGGTCTGCAGCTCTCTTGGGGGCAACATGTAAGCAATGGGCCATGGCTGCCTTTCCAATTCCAGTCCCTGTCGTGCTCCATGTGCTAAAGAGGCTGGACCTCAATTAACCTTTTCCCAGATCAGCCATTAGTCAACTGAGCAGATGAACCATCCTCAAGTCAAACCCAACAGCCCGTGTCTTCACAAGCACCTTAGAGGCATTTTCTGAGCTGGGCTGGTTCTTTTTTTTAATTTTCCAGTGCTAGACAGCATCTCTTGCATTTCCTGGTGGTCCCCCATCCAAGTGCCAACTAACACTAAACAAACGTCACTTCCCAGGTCAGCCAACAATGTCCAGGGACAGACTGAGAGTCCCCCAGCTCACTGTCTGGGCGAGTCCCTGCAATTAGCCTCAATGGAAAGGGAAGCCCTCACATTTGCACAGCCTGCTCAGTTTAGCTAGTCTTATTCTAGGTTAAGTTGCCCTCCAAAGAGCCCATTGAACAATGCCAGGGGACTGGGTATGGACAGTCAGGAGTGGGGAAGCAAGTCGTCTGAACACGGCCTCGGGTCACGCTGGGTCCTCCTTTAGGTTGTTCTAGGCCAGAGGTGAAGAACGATGATGCCCCTTTTATGACTTCTGGACTTCAACTCCCAGAATTCCAGAGTCCGCATGAACCACAAATCATAAAAGGACCATCAGCGATCTCCCTCTTCCTTCCTTTTTCCAGCTGAACGCCTGCAGCCTCGCTCTGTTCCCCCTCCGAGAAAGATGGCGCCGGGAGTCTCCCTCACTTCCGCTTCTGCCCGGCATACACATGGTGCCCCCCACAGTATTTTCACTTGTAGGTTTCTTCCATTGTGGCCAGGGAAGGCCGCAATACTGACCTCCCAGGCATCCCTTCAGCTCCGGCCCCCACAACCTGCATGTCCTTCTTTGCACCTGTCGAGGAACCGCCTGCGAAAGCCGCTCTGAGGGGCCCCAGTGCCCTCTTTACTGCGGGACGTGGCACGGCCTTTCCCGGCCCTGAAGATGAAGTAGAGCCGAGCAGCAACTCCCCCACCGGCCAACAGGGGGCAATAAAGGACGGGTCTTGACTCCACCTGCCGGTCCTTGGGAGCGCTGCAGCCCAGAGATGCTCTACCCGGGGTTTCCTTTGGAGGGCAGCTCTTCCTCCCAAGGAGGCGGGGCCGTCTAGCCCTAGATTAGAGTGCACAACAACCTGCCCAGGTAGGCTGGCGAAGGCACTGCAGAGGCTGATTGGTAAGAAAGTTTGGAGTTTATAGTTCAGCAACATCTTGTTTCAGTTCACACAACACAATTCCCTCCTTGGGATCTAACACCCACATTCACATGTGCTAAGTGTGGCAGTGTTGAGAAGGGCTGGATTTCCGGGGCTTTGGCTGTCGTCCTAGTCCAGATTTCCTTCATATATCTGAGGATGGCCTTAGTGGTGCTGACGTTTGGAAAACCCATTTAGGTTATATGAATGAGATGGAGGCCAAATTAGCCCCAGATTCAGCCACATCACACTTACTCCAAATAGGCACCGAGTGGAATGATCGTTTAAAGGCAATTTATTAGTCTATTATAGCAAAGAGATTTCCCTCAGTGAAAAGAGGGAATCTAGGACATAGAATCGGGTTTCATTTTATACGCCATATAGTAGAAAAAGTACAAAACAAGATCTGATTGGATGGAAGAAACCATCCTGCTCAGTTAAGCCAGAGACACGGACAGTAACATCCCATAATATTAAGCATAACCATTGAAATGTGGATTGCATTAAAAGGAGAACGCTGATATGGGAAAAAGTGTCACGAGTCAAATGAGGCTGTTACTAAAAGGTACAATTTCAGCCACAGAGTTTCAATTCGGCATTTAACACAATCATTCCCCAGCATCTAGTAGACAAACTGGGCCTTTTAGACTTAAACGCTCTTTGTGTAACTGGATTCTTGATTTTCTTACCAACAGGATGCAATATGTGCAATTTTTAAAAAGGTAACTGCAATGGTTCCAAGCTAAATTGGCAATTATAGGGTTTCTCCGCTTGTGTAACTGAAGCTCTTTCAACACTCCAGGCATTTATGCAGTTTCTCTTGAGTGGATTCTTTGATGTGCAGAAAGGTTGCTCCTCCGATTGAAGGTCTTTCCACACTCCAGACATTTATGCGGTTTTTCTCCTGTGTGGATCCTTTGATGTACATAAAGGCTGCTCCTCTGACTGAAACTCTTTCCACACTCCAGACATTTATGCGGTTTCTCTCCTGAGTGGCTCTTTTGATGGGTATAAAGGCTTCCCCTGTGACTGAAACTCTTTCCACACTCCAGACATTTATGCGGTTTTTCTCCTGTGTGGATCCTTTGATGTACATAAAGGCTTCCCCTCTGACTGAAGCTCTTTCCACACACCACGCATTCATATGGTTTTTTTGCAGGGTGAATTCTTTCATGTATATAAAGGTCTCCCCTCTGACTGAAGCTCTTTCCACACTCCAGACATTTATACTGTTCCTCTGTTGAGTGGATCCTTTGATGTTTATAAAGGTATCCCCTCCGATTGAAGCTCTTTCCACACTTCGGGCATCCATACGGTTTCTCTCCTGAATGGATTCTTTGATGTGCACAAAGGCTTCCGCTCTGACTGAAGCTCTTTCCACACTCCAGGCATTTATGCGGTTTCTCTCCTGAATGGATCCTTTGATGTGTATAAAGGTTTCCCCTCCGATTGAAGCTCTTTCCACACTCCAGGCATTTATGCGGTTTCTCTCCTGAATGGATCCTTTGATGTGTATAAAGGTGTCCCCTCTGACTGAAGCTCTTTTCACACTCCATGCATTTAAAAGGTTTCTCTCCTAAGTGGATCCTTTGATGTTTATAAAGGGTGCTGCTCTGATTGAAGCTCTTTCCACATTCCAGGCATTTATGCAGTTTTTCTGCTGTGTGAATTCTTTGATGTGTATAAAGGTGTCCT